AAGAGTGGCCAAGCACTGGAACAGGCTGCCCGGGGCAATGCTGGAGTCCCCATCCGTGGAGGTGTTCAAAAACCATGTAGACGTGGCACTTCAGGATGTGGCTTGGTGGGCATGGTGGTGTCAGGTTGATGGTTGGACTTAATGAGCTTGGAGGTCTTTGCCAACCTTAATGATTCTCTGAGTCTCACGTTACTCTCCTTGTCTTCGCAGGAGCAGGCCCAGGGAACCATGCTCAAAGTCCTCACCTCCTTTAAGAGCAGTGAAATAGAACAAGCGGTGAATTCCTTAGACAGGAACGGCGTGGACTTGTTAATGAAGTACATTTATAAAGGATTTGAGAAGCCGTCAGAAAACAGCAGCGCAATATTGCTTCAGTGGCATGAAAAGGTGGGTGCTTCTGCTGAGGCTCTTCTGGCTCCACGCTCCACGGGGTCCCTGCCAGTGCGTTGGCGAGAGCCCCCGAAGGGGAGGGAGATGATGGCCGGGGGCTCATCCCCGGGGAGCACAGCAACTGGAAGTTCCTTTGATCTTTGGCCTGGTTGAGCTGGGACTCGTTCAGCCGTTGCCTGTGTGTCAGAGCTTGTCCTCAGCCGGGGGAGAGGGGAGACTTTAGCAGGGCAGCGTCTGCTGGAGGAAGCATCGTATCTTCTTTGTGGCCCTGCCGAGGAGAAAGCGCGGGGAGAGGAGACGCGGGTGGCTGAAGGGTGTTGCTGGCCTCCTGCCTTCGTCGGGGAGGGTTGGGCTGGGGGGTGCTGGGCTGGGTCAGCTCTGGGTGAGCTGAGTTTTCATCAGCCAGGTGCTGCTGGCAACAGCCTACGTGTCACAGCTCAGTAACAGGATTTGGCAAACCTGTTTGGTTTGTGCCGGAGAAGCTCTTGAGATCTCCAGGAAGATTCCGCTGGGATGCGGAGCCGTGCTCTCTGGAATGCCCGTGGTGAGACAGGGAGGTCGAACGTTCCCTCTCTGCCAGGATGAGGCGCGTGAGGCAGCTGCTCAGTGTCACTGTCCCCAGGCAGGAATCCGAGAGGAACGTTCCCTGCTGCAGGGTTTCAGCTGCAGCACTGGCTGTCAGTGCTCCTCCTCGGAGCCAGGATCCCTAGGAATGCTGCAGCTCCCTGTTCCCCCGGCACCGCAGCAGCGCAGCCCGCTGCCAACGCCAGCGTCGTTTCACAACCTCCTGGGATTTTCCTGTGATAAAGACAGGAGTTGTGCAGAGTGACTCCAGCTATTAGCAGCTGTCACCGGCTTTGCACAACGGGAGGAGGAAGGAATTTCTCAGGCCAAGAGAATTTGTTTCTGCTTGAGTGGTTTTTTGTTGATTTTTTTCCCCTGTTGTTGTTTCCACTGGAGACAGATTTCAGGTAACCCTGGGCGGGTGCTCCCAGTGTGTAACGTTGCACAATCCCACCCTGACGGGGAGGATGCTCAGAGCATGTCAGCACACGTAAAGCACCTTGGGCTCCTTGTGAAAGGAGCAGGCAGGGCTGGAGGAGGCCAGGCAGGGTTTAAAACCTTCCTTGTGTTCTGCTTTTGGCACTACCAGTCAGACGTGTGGCTTGCTCGGAGAGGATTCAGCTGCTCGGTAGCTGCACCAGCCTGTCCTCTGGACAAGGCTTGTCGTCCCCGTGTGTGTCAGGGCTGGTGAGTGGGGAACGTTGAGGCGCATACGGTGTGTGCAGGTTCTGCTCCAGCCCCTCTGCAGTCACCGGTTTCCTGGTGACAGGGAGGTGTCCCGCGGTGTGGATCATCCTTCTCAGTGCATCCACTGTCGTACCCACGGGGCTGGATTTGAATTACATCCAGGCCTTGTTTTAAGCAGTCAGCTTTAATACTTATTTTTTTGTAATCACATCCATCTCCTTCTGGACTTTGGAACGATACGTTACTTACATTGAAGGATGCAAATGAAACTCCAAGGAGCCCGTCCTCCTTTTCCCTTCAGGGTTGTGGGAGGTGAGACATTCTGCATCATCAGTGATGTGTGACATCAGTATCCTTCTCCAGATCCAAAAGATGGTTTGTTAGATTTTGGAGAATGTAATTTTTCCCTTCAGATTCAGTGGTGTAGGGGTTGCTAAATCATTGCATTGGATTTTGTCTGCCCTTCAGTCCCTCGGTTCTTCTGTCACGGAGTACAGTTGTAGAATATTCTATAAATAATCTGAGTCAAAGATCACTCTCATCTCTATTTACAGAGGGGAAGTGAGGCACAAACTTCCCCAGACTGGAACAAGCAAGGATCTGGGTTCAGCTCTGAGCTCCCCCATTAGCCTTTTAACTCTTGGCCTAAATCATTCAGAGCACAGGCTGCTGAGAGGAGTGAGTGTGCAAACACAGAACCTGGCAGCGCAGGAAGGCGGCAGCAGGGCAGGAAGCACCTGCAGAGACACCAGGAGGTGGAACAACCCGAGAACCACGTTTCCTGTTGTGGTGGCAGCAGCCAGAACAGCGAGCTGTGCTGTGGGCTGGGGCCGGGCGAGCACAGGCGGGGACAGCGCTGCTTCGTCTGCGCTGGGAACCTCGCGCTGCACCCTGGTTTAGTACCTAAAGGAAATGACTTCAGATGTCTTCAATGTCCACATGCGCTAGAGAAAAAGAGATTTTTCCCCAATTAATGGTTTTAAAGATTTGAGAGCAAAAAAGGGGGTAGAATGAGCTGGAACAGCCCAAAGTGCCTGTGTGTGAAGTACATTTTTGAAGAGCCACGTACTCTTTGTTATTAAACACTTGTTTGTCCTTTTAAGATGCCTTTTTCACGCGACGCGGCGACTCCGTGTAACCTCTCTCCTTTTCCCTTCCCCACAGGCACTAGCAGTAGGTGGATTAGGTTCCATAGTCAGAGTTCTTACAGCAAGAAAGACTGTTTAAAAGACTATTCACTTGAACCAAGACGACGCTCAGTTCTGGACTCGGAAGAAGGAATTAGCTGAAATTACACTGGTCCATCTTCGTTAGAGATCGCAGTCTGCTGAAATAGTCCGGAGAACTCCTCGTGGAATGCTTTCAACCTTAACGCCGGGGAAGAGCAAAGGTGTTCCTGCATATCCCCACTCTCCCATCCAGGAGCCAAGACATTCTCCCGCTCCCTCCTTTAAAGGCAGAGAGAAGGCACGCTCCTGCCTCCTGTTCCTGAAGCGAACAGGTATTTCCAGATGCTGCTTTATCCGAGTGTGGTGACACCAGATCCTGCGTGTGCTGCTTGTTTCAGAGGCAGCGACGTCCTTGGCAGAGGCGAGATCCCGACAGCTCGTGGGCAGGAGGAGTGTTTGTTAGCGCTCAGGTGGTTTTGTACGCACGGCCGAAGGACGGGTTGGACTGTGGGGCTGGTTTCAATGTAAAGTGCCTGCTGCATCAATAAAGTTCTTGGATCACGTGAGTTGAGTCATTTATTTTTTGCTAAACCCTAAGTCTGACAGGTTACTCAAAAGCAGGCCAGCAGTAGACCAATTCTCAGTGTCCACCTTTGCACAAATGCTGTGAACTCCCAACTATTTATGGAATTTGTCCTCAAATCCAACTCTGCTGGCTGCAGGAAGTGAGACCAAGCTCAGCTGTTCCAGTCAAGGCTTCCAAGATGCAGTGAATGTAATTACATAATCATCACCCATGACTTGATTTTTATATTCTTATCCACCCTAGAAAGTCAGGAAAATACTTCAGAAGAGCATGTCCTCACCTTCTGAAGGACTTCAGGAGAGCAAAGTGAGCTGCTTCCTTTGAGTCAGTAGGCACCGATGTTTTATCCCTGGCGTGTCCAGACAGAAGGACACATCATCTCAAGCCATCGCTGTCTCCACCATCAGAGCACCCTTGGCCAGAGCACTGGGGTTGTGCAGCATCCCCCTGGGCCGTGGGGCTGGCAGGGGGATCTGCCAGGACAGAGCCTTCCTTTTGGCACAAACAAGCTCACACCAAGTGAAGCAGCTGCTCAGGGAGGCCCAGCTCCATTCTGTCTTTGTTTTTATCAGCTGCTAAAACTGCAGCAGCAGCAGCTGTCCCTGGCAAAAGACAATTTTGAGGAGGCAGAAGTGCTCCCCCTCATTCCTGGCCTAACTCCCTAGGAGAGCTGGAGGCCTTAATTACCTGTCTGACTGACACACCCATTCTTGCCACGGGCAGAAGGTGGGGTTTGGCTCATGCTTTAACATTCTCTCCATTTTAAAGAGCTATAGCATCCCAGTGGAGATAACCACAACTATAAAAAGAAAGAAATTCAAGATTAGGGTTTTGATCCAAAAATGTATTGCACCACAGATTTCATAGTGTTTCAGAATACAATCCATATTTACAGCATAGAAGGAAAGAAATCCAATGGCCATAGAAAGGAAACCACTGTTTTTATACAAGGGAAAGTGCAGTAGCTTTTTAATATATGTATACACACCATTCTTGCTCCAATACCTAAAGAAAATTCAACACTTCAGAACTAATTTATGGTAAGTTGATCCTGTGTGAGCTCTGGGATCTTAAAACTGAAGCTGTGTTAGTGAATTTAGAATCTAAGATGTTATTGTCACTATTCCAGGCGGCCTGTGCTGCTTTTCTTCCTGTTCAGCAGTAACCTTTCAAGCCAGGATCAACGTAAACCGATTAGTCATTCAGCAGCATCAGCACGAGGAGAGGGAATCCTGTCCCCTGCTCTCAGGTCCCACAGAAACAGGCCAGGGCAAAGGGACATTCTACAGAAAAAGACCTTCAAGAATAAAATCTTCCCAGAACCAACAGGGTTATCCTGCCCCTGCTTTGTTTCAGTAGAGAAACAATTGATATAAATCTACTTTTTGATTGTCTGATTTTGTATCAGAGCAGAGTTGTACTCTTCCCCTCAACTTCCCCTATGCTATCGCCAAGGTCACTAAAGACTGTGTGGGGACAAGCTTTAGCATTACCAAGAAAAATCCTGTTGGTTTTCCTAACTTCAAATAAACACAATCCAGCTCTAAACCCTGTGCCAAGGTAAGAGCTCCTGCGAGTACCTGTGTCTGGGATCTGGCTGACTAACAAAAACGGGAGGCAGCACATTCACCCCCCGGGTAACTGACCTCACATGGAAGGAAACGTTCACCTTCAGCACAGCACGAGTGTGCAGGGAGCCAGGGAGCAGCTCCTGTGCTGCAGCTCTAACACCAACGTCTCAACTGCCACCACCAAGGTCACTCAGACCCCTGTGAGTAAAGCAGAGTTAAAACCTGAACAGGGACTGTGTCTCCTCCACTCGAGGACAGGATGAATTTTCTCAATATATTTAATAAAAGTATTGTTAGTAACACAAACCTCATAGTAAGAGAACGACCAGAGCTGCAGCCTGCTCGTCCAATTCCATACAGAACGTAGGGTTTTTTTTTGGAAGTATGTCCCATTTTTAAGAATTCACACTTACCACTGCAAAATCGAGCTGAAAATGGGGAGCAGCAGTGTTAGTAACGACAGGCAAAATTCTGCTTCCACTCTGGGAGACAAATGCCACCTTAGTCCCCTTTTCTTAAGGGGGAAGGAGAACAAGCTGCTGGAACCAAGATTTTTTTCATTAAGAGTTGAATTTTGCCCTCAAAACTAAAAAGCTCATGAGCAGTGTTTCTTTTACCATGTAGTTAGGACACAGTTAACAGCCCCACTACGTGTTCAAAACAGTTTTTAAGCATTGGTATTTGAAGTACAGAAAACCACAACCAAAGAGGCAGATACTGGCTATAAATATTTGTTACTAGCAGACTGGAAGAAATAAAAAATAAAAATCAAAGTGTTTAGTACCAATATTCCTCACCCTTTGTCACTAGATTTTATTTCTTTACATTTTTTTAATAAAAGGTATTTCTCAGTGTGCATTTACAATACCTGGAATTCAGCTTTAAAAATTTAAAATTATTTACTACCCCCTTCTTCCCAATGCTAACAACCTACAGTACAGGCTAAGAGATTAGTTTTCAAGGCGACTGAGTATTAGGTACTATAATTAAGACCATTTTAAATAGTATTTTTCTTTAAGAAAAGTAAAAATCAGACAACTCTAAAGTTGTGCTCTCAAATTAAATAATCATCATCAACATGCAGCCTTCAGGACTGCAGGCCAGGATATATGCACCTTAAATTACACAGTGATATGAAAAATGCGAACTATTAGTTAGGTCAGTATAAGAAGGCAAGGCAGATTTCTTGGTTTTTTTGGTTAAAGCTCCTGCTCCTGTTCTTTGAAAGGCTCCTCAAACCATCAAAAACTCGATACAGTACTGCCAACTGGTTTGTTTTTGTTTTATCATCGCTTGCTTTCCACAGCGAGACAAGGAGGCTTCCCTGTGTGGGAGTTACTCGACTCCAGCACTCCACAACAGCAGCTGGAATCACCATCCCAAGAGATGCACGTGGGAGAAGCTGGGACTGCCAGCACTGGCCTTGGAGAGGTGAACAGCGCCCTTTGGTGCCAAGAAAACAAGAGCCATGAGCACAAGGAGCTGACTTCTGTCACGAGACCATCGAGACGACGGTCCCCGGATCCATCCAACCCCCGAAGAGCTGTTGCAGTTTGTAGTGAAAATTTCTCCTTGCACAACATTAGTTTTGTAAACAGTGTCATAAAAGTTCTTGTACAAAATACTGCAATGACAGTGATTAAGACACACCTGAAGCAGTGTGTTCAGCATTCTTTTCACAGAAAAAAAGTGGCTAGATGCTGACTGCCCATCTTCACGTTCCCTTAAGGCCACAGTGTCCTTGGGCTCGAGATAGACGGCCGGATACTGCCTTTAGGAGATGGCTTTGACCCAAACCATGACATCTAGGACAGGAAAAGACAATACACATTATGCTAGGGTCACATTTTCAGAGGCTGCAGACTTAAAAAAGAACATGGTGCATGGGCATCTCTCCGTTATTCGATGGAGAGAAGTACTTATAAAGCAGAATGCTGCAGACTTCAGACACAGTCAAACCTGGAAGAAACAGCATCCATCTTCCACAAGTGAAGATGAGTGAAGATTAGGCTTAGACATTTCCTTTAAAATAAACACAAATCACAGATCTCCAGTCATTTGCACACAGTACCTTTAGTCAGCCTACTATTGTCCTGTTCCCTGAACAGGACACGGTGAGGAATCTCCCTCAGCTGCAATCATACGTAGACTGAACACATCCAGCTTACAGAGTGGGCAGAGATGATGCAGGACGTGCAAGGAACTGAGACAGCACTCATTTAGGAACACTCACTGATAACCACACAGCCAGGGACACACAGGAGATCTCATTTTAGGCAATGGCAAGGAGAAACATCTTGGTGTCTAAGCCCAATGTCAAAACAACAAACCAGGAATTCAGCTTCCTGCTTGTAAAACATTTGACTGTGCTCCAGCAAGGAGTTTCTCGCTTCCTTCCCCCCATGGACTGAGTCTGCTGGGCAAAACTGTGCTGCTACTCCTTCTCTGAAGCACTGGGAAGCTGGTATTTCCCTCATTGAAATGGACCATTTCCAACACGATTAGTTAACAGCTTAATAAGAAATTCCATTTATTATTGTAGCCAACATTTGGAAAAGATAGTTCTCACAATCTCCCAGCATCTAAGAATTTCATTCCATCTGCTGGGAGTCCCGTTAGAGACTACAAGTGGAAGAGAACCCTTACCTTGTACTCCAGAGTCTCTTTAAGCATGTTTTCTTCCTCTTGTGAAAAATTCAGTAACACAGACACAGCTTTAATCAGGTGGAATGCCTGAAAGAAACCACAGTATTTTGTTGCTCATGATGCTCTCAGGCTCTACGTGCCGGACTCTGGTGCAGCACAGAGGTTTCTGCAGGTTGATCAAACCAGCATGTAGGCAGGAAAGAATCATTTTAAATATACACCTAAGTATATTAACTCTACAGTACTAACATTCTA